TCCCCATCCCAACTCCCTCTCAAAACTCCCTGTTAGCAATCACCTGTTCGCAAGCTCCTTGGTCACTTGCCCACTGCCTTATAAAGCCCCTCCCGCTACCAAGGCTCAGCCAATCAGCAGAGGCTTCTAGAATTCAAACTTTAATTAGAAGCCAACAGCTTCCACCTCTAAAGCCCTGGAGTGCCTGAAAGTCCCTCCCCCTACCAAGGCTCAGCCAATCAGCAGAGGCTTCTAGAATTCAAACTTTAATTAGAAGCCAACAGTTTCCACCTGCCAATCACAGCCAATCACAGCCCCTACCAATCATAGCCAATCACAGCACAAACTCCATCAAGGGGAGGGGAAGGGCAAAGGGGAAGTGGTTAAAAAAAAAGCCTCACTCTCAAACACAGGGGAAAATAAATAAATAAACAAACAAAAAACAAAAAAGAACACACACCAACCCTCACTCACAAACACAAGCTCAGCACACAGCAAGAAAGCCCCAAACACAACACCTACTTCCCTCAAGACTCCTGTATCTGCTTCTCCTCTACCTGGAGAACTCCCTCTCTAAAGCCTCACTGCAACCAACAGGAAAATAAAATAAATAAATAAATAAATAATAATAAAAAAAACCACCACCACCACACACCAAACAAACACAGATGTGCTGCTCAAGTGTGCTGCCTGCTCTTAGGTATGCTTGCCAGGCTGCCCACACAAGAAATGAAATACAAAGTTTTCTGGGGCTTTTCCTGTTCACCTGGAAAATAGTAGTCACAAGTTCTGGCCAGAGTGGTCACAGTGGGGCACTGTGGGATGACTCCTGAGGCCAACATGTCAACTTTTGCAATGCTGCATCTACACTACCGTAAAGTCAATCAAGCAAGGTCTAATTTAGCATTACTCCCTGTGAAAAACAGGAATTGTGATACTGACTTTAGCAGCCCTTAAAGCCGATGGAACCGGCTTGATAGTGCAGACCAGAGGTCTCCACCCTTTTTACACCGAAGATCACTTTTTAAATGACAGAACAAGCCAAGATCTACTGCCCCACCCCTTCCTTGTAGCCCAGCCCCTTCCTTGAAGCCCTGCCCCTTGCTTGAAGGCCCACCCTCTCTATTCTCCTCCTCTCCATCACTTGCTATCCCCAACCCTTATACTGCTGCTTTTTTCCCCCAATTCTTCTGTAGGAAGAAGTTTTTCCAACATTTGGCCTGTCTAGACTGGACCAAATGTCAGAAAAACCCCTTCTTTTGGAACCCCCTTATTCCTCGTGGAAAGAGGAATATAGGGGTGACCGAAATATCATGTTTGCGCTTCCACTAAAAGAAGTGGAAGAACAAACACATCCCTGGATGCAGAAGAGTTTTTCTGGGATATCTCTGGAATCCTGAAAAAGTCCTGCTGGCTAGCTGGACCCTCGCTGGGTTGAAATAGGATGTGTAGGCTCTGGGGTGGGAATGAGGGATTTGGGTGTGGGAAGAGGTGGGTGGTGCAAGTTCTGGGAGGAAATCTAGATGCAGGAGGAGGTGGATAAGGGAACGCTGGCTCGGGGAGGGGGCTCCAGGCCAGGCAGCCAAACCCCTGCACTTGCCTGCCCTGAGGCCAAACCCTGGGGCCGACCCCCACTCCCGCGGTGCAGGAAAATCCCTGTGCTTGATTCACCCCTCCTGCAGCGCAGGGAAGCCACCACACTCCTCCTTCGGGGCCGACGCCTCCTCCTGCAGCGTGCCCAGCACACAACAGAGCTGTGGGAGGGGAGCAGCCAGCACACTTCCAGAACCCCTGGAAGTGGTGCGAAGCTGCAGGCTTCCGTCCACCCCGCGGGAAGCCAGCACTACGCTGGAGGTAGGTAGTGGGGCTTCTCAGGGGTGGGGGGAAAATGGAGCATGGGGGGGCCCAAACACCTCGTAATTGACTGGTCAAGGCCTCGCGATCGACCAGTCAATTGTGATCGACCGGTTGGTGACCACGGGTGTAGACTAAGAATGTTAAGAGGCAGATAATCCACTAATCATGTAGTTGATAAAATTTGTATCAACTACATGATTAGTCAATAAGGTAAGACTTCCTCAGTCCCAGCTCACACTGGGTCCAGGAGCTACTCCTGCTGCACCTCTGGAGATTAAATATAGAACGAGCCAGGCATGCAGCCAGCCCGTCTCCTACTCCATTTAAACTCCAGAGGCGCAGAAGGAGTAGCTCCCAGATCCAGCACAAGCCAGGACTGAGCCAGGATTGCTCAATCCCAGCTTGCACTGGGTCCAGCAGCCCCTGTCTGCGTGGAGTCCCAGCACTCTCACTGGGATCCCCTGCCGACAGGGGCTGCTGCAAGAGCAGCCTCTGCCTACAGCCAGCCCAGGCCTATGTGAACAGCAGCTGCTTCGTAGCAACCTGCCCTCCCCACCGCCTGCACTTTGGCCTCTAAGAGAGGCAGCAGCTCGCGAGGCGGGGGGTGGGGCAGGTGGCACTGCAGAGACAGTGCTGGGGGAAAACCAGCTTTGAAGCCGGCTCCCCCCAGCACCAGTTCCTGCTCCCCTGCCTTGCTGCCTCTGACACAGCTGGGGAGGTGCGAGCAGTCAACTACTCGCTTATATCACTAGTGTAGACTCATTGTTTAGAAAAATCAACCTTATGCAGCTAAATTTGACCTAAACTCCTAGTGTAGACCAGGCCCTAGGAGGATATTGTTTGAGAAATATTTGCATGCACCAACATGTTCTCCAGTTTATACTGAGCTTTTAATAAATCCAAAATTTAATGAAAACTAGTCTGATTTACTTGTGAAGTTTCACCAACAAGAAGAGCAACATTAATAAATGCTGTCTATGTGCTCCTTAGTTACCATATTCTGCTCTGTAGTCATTTTAGGTCCCCTTTTCATGATGAGTTGGTCTAAATACTCAGCTTTTTCGGGCCATGTTTTCAGACTTCGATATTCCTTTTTCATTTTTTCCAATCTAAAGTGAAGAATCAGCTAAGTTGTTTATATCTATACTTGCAATACACAAAAAGACATTTTCCTCATGAACTAACTCAGTTTCAATGGCAGTTTGATCAATGCAATTTGAAGAATATTCTTCCACTATGCTGTCGGAGAGATAGGTGACAGCAATTACAATTAAGATGGTCAAAGAGGTCCTCCTCATCTCATTAAGTCTTGTTGCTCTTTGAGTACTTCCATAAATTAATTTAGCACATTACCTTTATTATAGTTCTACCTTTATTTACAAGACCAACTCTGTCAATTCCCAAACAAAATCTTTTCTGGGTGAATGTCTGCCTTGGTATAATCAAGTCTATAATCAATTTCTAGGAGGGGATGGGTGAGATTCTGTGGCCTGTACTGTGCAGGGGGTCAGACTAGATGATCATAATGGTCCCTTCTGACTTTAAAGTCTATGGCTACGTCTACACTGGCCCCTTTTCCGGAAGGGGCATGTAAATTTCACTAGTCGTCGTAGGGAAATCCGCGGGGGATTTAAATATCCCCCGCGGCATTTAAATAAAAATGTCCGCCGCTTTTTTCCGGCTTTTAAAAAAGCCGGAAAAGAGCGTCTAGACTGGCCCCGATCCTCCGGAAAAAGCGCCCTTTTCCGGAGGGTCTTATTCTTATTCGAAGTAGGAATAAGACCCTCCGGAAAAGGGCACTTTTTCCGGAGGATCGGGGCCAGTCTAGACGCTCTTTTCCGGCTTTTTTAAAAGCCGGAAAAAAGCGGCGGACATTTTTATTTAAATGCCGCGGGGGATATTTAAATCCCCCGCGGATTTCCCTACGACGACGAGTGAAATTTACATGCCCCTTCCGGAAAAGGGGCCAGTGTAGACGTAGCCTTACAGGGCCAGTGTAGACGTAGCCTATGAGTCTAAGTCACAGATGGTAAAATTACCAGATAAAGGGGAAAACTGCAAATCACTGGTCTGCTATCAGCGCAGATTGTGAAACATGATTCTGAACAGCATGAAGGCAGAAACTATAAGTACCAAAATGAACTACCACCTACTCATGCTTCCATATCCAAATTACTGCTACTTAAAAAAAACCCAAAACAATGAGGCTTAAGTGCACAAGTAAAATAAGAATTCCATTTTGTATCCTCATACAAAAGTGCACATTTCTTGCCTGTTTCGAGGAGACATTTTATTCAGAGCACTCTGAAGTATTTCTAAACCATCAGAAGGCACACCAGATGTTGTGGGAATATCCCTCTCAAGAGTCTCTTCTGTCACATTCAGATCTGGGGAATGTGATAGTATTACTACAATAAAACAAATCACTGAAAGTTCAAGCAGTAAAAGAAAGCTGAATAAAGATAATGCAAAAATCATCTTTACAGAAACAGTGAATAATCTCTATGCTACTTCAGTGTTATTATAATGTCGCAGGTAATAAATCTGATTTCCCTCCCCTGTCAAGACCTTAGATGTTAAGAATTTATTTTGGAAGGGGCCTTAAAGGGATTCTTTAAAAAAATAAATTTAAATTATAAAAATGCTATAGCTATGGTTAAGAGTGTGTTCTGTATAATCATTGTTTTCACACCCTTTCTAAAAAAAAAAGAACCCCTTTAGTTTGAGTTTCTCATGCTCTCTCTCAGCCAAGAGAAAAATCATTTTATAATTTTTTTACAAAACTCGATTTCATAAAGTTCCATCATCATCAAGCCCCTACTGACTCCCACAACCCTGACTCCTGCAACCCCCATATACTGCCCCCCTGCCACAAGCCCTACGCCCACCTTAACACTCCCCAATCCCCTGCCTTGAGCTCTCCGCACTTCTCCCCCACTCTTAAATGTCTTACAGATACTGTTGTATTGTAACCCCCCCTTCTTCCTGCCCTGAGGGTCCTCCCCCCGATGGGGAGTTGCTATACAACAGTATCTGTAAGAAATGTAAGTTACTTTCACCCCTGCTTGGGAGGGAAAGTATTCTTTGGGGTTCTGGCAGGGCCTGTAGTCCTGCACCAAACATGCCTGAAGGGGCTGAAGAGGTAATCTGGTGTGTTGGACTATGTATGTGAAAGCTGCCATATGCCCCAGTAATTCCATGCAATTTCCAGCCATTGTTGTTGGGACTCAGTGAAGGTTCTTTATGATATCCCTGAGGGCTTGGAAGCCTAGCTGTGTCAGGTACACCCTGGCTTGCATGAATTCTAAAAGAGTCCCTATGAATTCTATTCTCTGTGTCGGGGCTAGAATGGATTTGGGCATGTTCAGTATGAGGCTCAATCTGAGAAAGGTGCATGAGCCAAAGAGACACACGTTCCTCTAATCATGCTTACAACTTGGCCTTGATGAGTCAATAATCTAGGTAAGGGAAGACCCTGTACCTGACATTTGCAGAGGAAGATTGCCATGACTGCTATGAACTTCATGAATGTCTGAGGGGATGCTGAGAGCCCAAAGGGAGCATCATGAAATGGTAGTGCTGATCGCTAACCACAAACTGCAGAAACGGACTATGAGACAGGATAATGAAAAATATGCATCTTTCAAGTTGAGAGCAGAGTACCAGTCCCCTGAATCCAAGGAAGGAATGATGGAGGTCAGGGAGATCATGTGAAACTTCACTTTCTTTATGAATGTGTTGAGGTCTCACAGATCTAAGATAGGCCTGAGACCACACTTGGCTTTGGGGATGAGGAAATATCAGGATTAGAACCCCTTACCCCTGAATTCCTGAGAAACCTCCTCTATCACCCCTAGAGCAAGGAGTGATTACACCTCTTGAGGAAGGAGTTGCTCATGAGTAGAGTCCCTGACGAGAGACAGGGAAGGGGGTAGAAGGGTGGCAGGATACAGAACAGGACAGACTATCACTCTCTACTGTGCTTCTGATAGAGGCAGCAGCACGGGACAGGATGGCAGCAAGAGATACAGAGGCAGCAAGAGAGGGGGAAACGTGTGTAGTTGACAAGATTAACCAATAAGTCTAGGCTTATTGGTTAATCACATAGTCGACTACTCATTGACATCCCAAGTCCATGGAATTTTCACATATCATAAACAAATATGATTCTTAAGAACCTTTGAGGATCTGTTCTGTCTTCAGGTGTTGGAATCCGAATAAACATGGAATGTTTAAGTGTTTTCCGAAGATCTGCCTCAGGATATTTTAGCTACAAAAGAAAAACACTGATATTATAGCAAATAAATAGCAATGGTATTATAGACAGTTCCACCCTAATGATTTGATAGACTCAGGAAATATCTGAATTCTTCAGTAAAACCAGAGAAAATAAAAAATTTGGGAGGGCACAAGAAAAAACTGTAGAAGTGAGGCTAATACAGATTTGCTAGTAATTTATCAAAACCAATTACTGAAACAAATTTGTGGATTGCACAGTACTAAAATAAAAATATTTTATAAAACCTAGTCATAGGGTTCCTATTATAGAAGGATGCTAGTTCCATAATAAAGGTGAAAGTCATTAGAAGATTGATTATCAAAACCAAACCTTATCTCACTAAAAACAAATCAATCTATATGAAATTTCTTACCTCCTATCCCATTCTAGGTTAGATTTTTTTTAAAATCAAACCAGGACTATTAGAGACACGAGAGGCATACAATTTCTAGGTCATTCAAATTTTCCTCAGTGCCTTTTTGGCTTATTTTGGCCTTTAATACCTCTGTAAAGAGTCACATTAAAATCAATCTTCACTTCTCCAAGAGTTCCAGAGCAAAAGTGTTTTTCCATACATTTTATTGGGGTGTGTGAGAGGGTATTACAGGCCTTTGTGGCTCCCTGCTGGAGGCCGTATGGTCCTGCCATACACCCGTGCCAGCAAAGGAGCAGAGAAGATGGATCCCCCAGGTCCCTGCTTAGAGAGGCTGCACGAAAGCAGTGAATCATATGCCAGATGGCTCAGATAAAAGTGGATGTAGAGACTAGCTGGGATTACACAGGAGCCAGGAAGGATGTGCCTCTCTGCTCAAAAAGCTTGGAGGGCAATCAGAGTTTGGGTCAGGTTGCATTTTGCTGAACCTGGGAGAGCCTGAGGTGCAGGTGGGAAGAGGCTCAGGGAACAAGCAGCAATGAACTGGAGTGGCACATAGCTGCTGTTTATAGAGATTCTGTATTGAAAGTCAGAAGTAGTAAGTATCAGAGGGGTAGCTGTGTTAGTCTGAATCTGCAAAAGCGACGAGGAGTCCTGTGGCACCTTATAGACTAACTGAAGTGTAGGAGCATAAGCTTTCGTGGGCAAAGACCCACTTCGTCAGATGCATGTAGTGGAAATTTCCAGAGGCAGGAATAAATATGCAAGCCAGGATCAGGCTGGAGATGACCAGGTGGATCCAATCAAGGAGGATGAGGCCCACTTCTAGCAGCTGATCTGGAGGTGTGAATTCCAAGAGAGCAGAAGCTGCTTTTGTAGTTAGCAAGCCATTCACAGTCTTTGTTTAATCCAGAGTTGATTGTGTCAAACTTAAAGATGAACTGTAGCTCAGCAGTTTCTCTTTGAAGTCTGGTCCTGAAGTTTTTTTGCTGCAGGATGGCTACTTTTAGATCTGCAATTGTGTGTCCAGGAAGATTGAAGTGTTCCCCTACAGGTTTTTGTATGTTGCCATTCCTAATATCAGATTTGTGTCCATTGATTCTTTTACGTAGGGACTGTCCTGTTTGGCCGATGTATATAGCAGTGGGGCATTGTTGGTACATGATGGCATATATTACGTTGGTGGATGTGCAGGAGAATGTACCAGTGACAGTATGGCTGATCTGGTTAGGTCCTGTGATGGTGTTGCTGGTGTATATATGTGGGCAGAGTTGGCACCGAGGTTTGTTGCAAGGATTGGTTCCTGAGTTCGAGTTATTATGGTGCGGTGTGTAGTTGCTGGTGAGAATATGCTTCAGGTTGGCGGGTTGTCTGTGGGCAAGGACCGGCCTACCTCCCAAGGCCTGTGAAAGCGAGGGATCATTGTCCAGGATGGGCTGAAGATCACTAATGATGCGTTGGAGAGGTTTTAGCTGGGGACTGTAGGTGATGGCCAGTGGTGTTCTGTTGGTTTCTTTCTTGGGCTTGTCCCGTAGCAGGAGGCTTCTGGGTACACGTCTGGCTCTGTCAATCTGTCTCCTCACTCCTCATTCTGTAAACTGGGTATCGCAGTTTACAGAATGCTTGTTGAAGGTCTTGTAGGTGTAGGTCTCTGTCTGAGGGGTTGGAGCATATGCGGTTGTACCTCAGTGCTTGGCTGTAAACAATGGATCGTGTGGTGTGTCCGGGATGGAAACTGGAGGCATGCAGGTAAGTATAGCGGTCGGTAGGTTTTCTGTATAGGGTGGTATTGATATGACCGTCACTTATTTGTATCGTGGTGTCCAGGAAATGGACCTCCCGTGTAGATTGGTCCATGCTGAGGTTGATGGTGGGGTGGAAGCTGTTGAAATCATGGTGAAATTCTTCCAGAGTCTCCTTCCCATGGGTCCAGATGATGAAGATGTCATCGATGTAGCGTAGGTAGAGAAGGGGTGTAAGTGGACGAGAGCTGAGGAAGCGTTGTTCCAGGTCAGCCATAAAAATGTTGGCGTATTGTGGGGCCATGCGGGTGCCCATAGCAGTGCCACTGGTCTGGAGGTATATGTTGTCACCAAATCTGAAATAGTTGTGTGTGAGGATAAATTCACAGAGTTCAGCCACCAGTTGTGCTGTGGCATCATCAGGAATACTGTTCCTGACAGCTTGTACTCCATCTGCATGTGGGATGTTTGTGTAGAGAGCCTCTACATCCATGGTGGCTAGGATGGTGTTTTCTGGAAGACCTGACTGTGTGTCCTGCCCTGAACAGATCCCAGTCCTAGAGCCTGGCCTGATAATGATAGGACCAATGCAGCCAGTCCTCACCTCAGTAATGTTTTACACCTACTGGATCGAGGTGCACAGCCTGTCCGAAGGGGGTAAATAAGCAAAGTGAATGGGTCGGGCCCCATAGTGCTAGATACCAACTGCGGAACAATAATTGGTACTGGTTGTAAGTGGAAAGCACATGATACCCCTAGCTCATTAAAAAAGATCTTGGTACCCACTCCTCACAGATACAAACTCAGGTTCAGGAACAGGTCTAAAATGACAGCATGATGGATAGAGATGATCTAATCAAACCAAACCACGAAGTATAGGGTGATGGGTGGTATCTAAGTAGCATCAGAGGATGGCAACCTAACAGTGTCAGCAGTGATGTGTGATTTGTTGTACCTGTAAAGTGGTGTCTTGGGGGGACAGTTTTTGTATGACCTGGGGGCAATGGAAATTTCCCCCTGATTGAATCATTCCATTGTTATGCATCCTGGTTCAGTAGAGTACACTGACAATTATTACTGTACTTCGCTTAACAATAAACCTGGCCTGGCACCTTCAATCCTTATCTGGTTTGTGGTCTTTGGGGGCTCTCTTAGGGTCTGCTGTGGAGATTAAGTGCACAAGTCGACACGCACACATCACTGAGCACACACACAAGCAGCCTTCTGGTTCTCATCATCAACTGAGCCAGAGACCTGTGAGGACACCTCAGCAGTAAATCCTGACCACCTCCTTAGCTGCAGTGGTTCCCCTCATACCTTCTTTAAAGAACTGTATCTGGTGGCTCCTCACTGATTTGCTGACAGGACAGTACTTCTCTAGTCTGTTTGCTCCTCTAATAGCTGGCCCACCCCACTACTTCTTGGTTCATCTATTGTTCCAGCTGCTGAAAGGATGCCAACTGATGATAGCTGGTGGTTGCTGCATTGGCCAGGCTAGCATAGTGGTTTATACTCCCAACAACAGATCTCCCTTTTTGGATGGAAGTGGTCTCTGTGGAAGCGCTCCCCACTTCTTGAAAGAAGAAATCCTCATTCTTGCTTTGATTGCCCAGGCGATGCTCTACTGAGAAGTATGATATGTGGGCCAAGGGACCACTTAATTACTCTTGTGACTATTTCTTTCATGTGGCTCAGCCATTTTAATGTGGTGTAGTCAGTCACTAGATACCTTAATGTCTCAACTACCCAATTCCTTTTCAATTATTGTATTTTTCCACAGGAGAGTAAGTTACATCTTAGGTTCGATTCTGGTGCCCTTCACTGTAATATTCTTGGGATAGTACTGAACCTATTTCAACTTCAGAGGCATCAGTCTGGAGTACAAAAGGACTATTAAAGTCTAGAATCCACAGAACTTAATGGCTAAATAGAGCCTCTTAAATTTTTGGAAGGATGCCTGGCATTTATAGTCCACCACATATTTTGGAGGATAGAAATCCTAGTTAGTTCAGTCACGTGCTACTAGAATTGTACACATAGTTACTAATTTATTGTCACAGCCCACTAGTCCCAAAAATGACAACATTTCTTTTGAATCATGGGGTGGGACAGTCCCTTAATTGTGTCAATTATGAGCTTGATCATCCTCACCCAGTAGGTACCCGAGGTTCTGTATCTCTTTTTTGCTAATAAATACTTAGCTGGGTTTTTCCAACCAGTAGTCTTTAAGGAACATAGCACTCTAATTATGTTCTGTATGTATGTTTCCCAGACCCACTGGAAAGTTATTAGGCTACGTCTAGACTGGCATGATTTTCCGCAAATGCTTTTAACATAAAAGTTTTCCATTAAAAGCATTTGCGGAAAAGAGTGTCTAGATTGGCACGGATGCTTTTCCGCAAAAGCACTTTTTCGCAATCAGGGCTTTTTTTTTGCGCAAAACAATACCACATTGTCTACACTGGCCCTCTTGCGCAAAAGCATTTGCGCAAGAGGGCTTTGCCCGAACGGGAGCAGCATAGCATTTCTGCAAGAAGCACTGATTTCAGACAGTAGGAAGTCAGTGCTCTTGTGGAAATTCAAGCAGCCAGTGTAGACAGCTGGCAAGTTTTTCCCGCAAAAGCACCTGCTTTTGCGGAAAAACTTGCCAGTCTAGATGCAGCCACTACAGTGTTTAAAAAAGCCGTTATATACCTGTTATGCGGCCACAGGACCTTGTCCTATAGGGGCTGAAAGCAGTAGACCAAATGGCATGACTCTGAACTCAAACAATGTCCAATGGATGGAGAAAGAGGTCTTTTCCCATAATGCTCTTGTCAAGGATCCCTCCTCTAATATTTGGTCAGATCTAAGATTGTTATGTAATGTGCTTATCC